CCTACCGGTAGCGCCCGTACTCACACAATTTACGTGAAATGTTTGTTTGTTGCCTGACGCCGCCCAGGAGTATTCCTGTTAACTAACTAGACAATCAACTGAAAGCCCAAAGGCATTTAGAGTTTAAAGCTTTGTTTTAATAACCCAGGGACCTTATCATCGATGTAAACTTCACGTCAAGTTTTGAGCCAGTCCATTTCCAATCGAGGTGAAACAAAATGTATGAGGAGAACAAGGCTTTTGTTGCTGCCATGGCAACCTCCTGCCAGGAGCAACCAAAGAGGAGGACATATAGCCAGCTGGACAGTCGATTTGCCACAGACATGGAGCGATTGCATAATCAACGGATCTCGTTATGGAATTTGTAGATGAGGTGTCAGTATTTATTCATTTCAGACTTAGTTATGTATGACGCATGCATCAAGTCCCTTCTTATTTAACGAAAGTGGATATATTTTATTATGCAATGATATACTGGGACAACAAACATATTAATTCCCCAAATTGATGTCGATATTATACACGAGGGGCGTTCAATAAGTTTTGCAACTTGGGCATTTGTGTTTACACAAACAATGTCACCTTGCGACAGGTGTGACACAAGTCATAAAATCAGGTTGACACGTGTCATAACAAGTTCCAGACACAACAACAAGTTAGATGTGATGGCTTTATTCACCTAAGGGTGGTCACAATCATGGATTCTCTCAAACCTGAACAACGCGCTTTAATAAAGTTCCTTACCAAGGAGGGATGCAAAGCAAAAGAAATCCATATGCGAATTATGTGAATGTGGATTCTAACAGTTAAATCACCCACCCTACAGCCAAGACTTAGCCCCCAGTGATTATTTCCTGTTTCGGCAAATGAAATCTGCCCTACGTGGAAGACGCTTCCAGGATGACGAGGATATAAAGGCTGCCATAGAGGCGTGGTTAGAGGACCAATCTGCGGATTTCTATAAAAGTGGTATTAAAAGCTTGGAGGACAAATGGAATGAGTGTATTGAGGTGAATGGAGACTATATTGAAAAATAAAAGTGTAAAAGATATTCTGCGACTTGGTCTAACATTAAAGTTGCAAAACTTATTGAACACCCCTCGTATATATACTCTGCCAAGAAAGAGCAAAAGTGATTTTAGATGTAAATGTTATACATGTATATCATATTAATAATCAACAGATGGTTATCAATTGTTCAAAGTTGGCACACATCATTCTCATTGACCCAGGTTCCATATGGCACACAGTAGATAGTTGATTTCAAGGTGAAGGTCATCTGTTCTCAATATCTTTTATGGCCACCATTACAGTCCCAAACTGACTGGCTTCGTAATCACACGGAAGCAATCAGATCCTGAATTGTGGCCTGGGGAATGTTCACCCAGCTCTTGTGGCAACTGTTGGAGGTTCTGTGATTGTTGCTGACATGCTCGCAGTCGATCCAGTGCATCCCATGCATGTTCGATTGGGTTTTAATTTGGAGACCTGGAGGGCCATGGCAGGAACTGGATGTTGTGAATCCTGTAAAATGTAGTCAGTCTTGCCGTGTGATGTCGGGGGTTGTCTTGTTGGAAAATGACGTTCGCTTGTTGCATAATGGGAACGACGTGTAACGTTGTGCCGTTAAATTCACCAGAACGTACACCAAGTTAGTTTTGACAATCTAGGAGATGGCTTCCCACGTCATCAAACTATCACAACCAAGGCTGTCCACTTCCTGTATGTAGTTTCGTGCATAACGTTCCCCCCGTGACGCCTGTAAACACGACGTCTACAATCCGCAAGGAGCAGCATAAAACGTGACTCATCACTGAATCAAACTTGTCTTCATCGCAGTTGTGGCCATGCCCTGTCACCATGACACAATTGACGTCGTAGCCGACGATACACGTCCGTCAAAATGACACCTCGAACTGGTCTTCTAGCGCAAATACCTTCAGCGCGTAAACGGTTCCTAACTCCTCACTGTCTGGGCTGAAAATCTGGTATTGCTAGCTGGTGTAAGTGACGTAGCCTTATGAATCTGTTCTGTGCTCTAGTAGTAATGAGTGGTCGACCGGATCTGGAAAGGTCCCGTGTGTCTGATAACGGTTCCAGTCTTGTAATGGTGTTTGGTGCTACGTAGAAAAAAACCTGGCTATGGCTGAAGATGATTCTCCTGTTTGCAGTCGTGGTATGTTTTTGCTGGGAACTTGAAAACCCAACGTTGTTCTAGCCCAACAAGTGATGTTGCAATTGCAAGTCATGTGGTTGTGTATCTTGTCACCAAATTTCTGCAGTACCTCATTCTTTCCACACAATTCAATCCAAATCCATGCAGAAAGGACCAGTTCATGTTTGGTATTAATTTTGTATGGATGTTGGCAACATTCTGTCAGATATTTACGATTTTAGTACTCTTGCGTTTCTTTTTCGAAGAGGTGATTCGTTTTCAATTAAGGAGGTAGTTAATCAAAGTTAGGAAAATCTGTAAGGTAACAAACACTGTTATCTACATATACAGTGTCAGGGTTTCATGGAGATGCCTCCCTCCAACAACAACAACAACAAAACAAAACAAACAACAACACAAAATATAAACAAAACAAAGAAAAGACAACAACAAAAGACAATATCAAAACAAAATTCAAACAAAAAACAACATATTAACGAAAAAAACCCAAAAAACTATAACAACATTTAAGAAACTAGACATAAACAAAACAAAAAGAAAGATATGTTAATGCCATTCCTTGCCAAGCCCCCAATATGGAATAGGTAGAAAGTATTTCGAGTCTGATATTCTGGCCACACGTGACCATTGGTCGGGCACGTGGTACGTAACGTGCACAGGAGAAGGTTGCGCTCCTAATTTCCAACACAGTAATGTAATCATCCTACTCTAAATAATCTGAAACTAATTAGGTATCGAACATCCAATTAGGAGTCTACTGGGTTTTTTCACTCATTAAGTTCGTCACTGTTCACGTCCATGTTTGCAATGTGCTGGTAAAATAGTTCTTGATTGCGACCAAATATTTTAAAAACCAACAGGACCAAGAAAATTGCTACGAAACACATGTTGCCTTGTTTCTTTACGTGATGGAATAGCATCACTAACTAGTCATAACGAACATGCTTCATTTTGTATTCTTTAACTGTTATCGTATGTTATTATTAAACTTTAATTATTATTATTAAGCTCTATAATGAGCTAGGGCGAACTGTAATGAATGCGATGCATGTCCCGTCACAAAACGCAGCACGGGATGTGTTTACACTGAAAAGTTCACTTGCACGAGTTCCATTACTTGTATTGCTACCTTAGATCAACGTATATAAATAATAAAAACTGCTTGTGTCACCGAAAATATCGACTATGAAATATATCGCAGGTAGATCGAATTGTAAAGAATTAAAACATCTCAGTAAGTTCCTTACGCTGAATAGGCTACTCCGAAATACAGAGTAATAAAATAGTCGTCCAACCAGCCACAGCTGCAGGTGGTTCCTGAGAGGCTAACTTGAAGGGTTTCCGTTAGATAAAGGGTCAAGTTGCGGAATTACTTCCTGAAACCAATTAGCATCCGCCAGCACATGACACCACTCGTGTCTTTCCGTAACCTTCACGAAAGGGTTTTCCCGGAAAAACACGATTTGTCACGAATAAATAGTAACTTTCTGATAGGGTAAAATATATCGTCGTATATGAACATGTTGTATGTTGGATATTTCATATTGACATGATAAAAAAATATTCTGGGCCTAAGACTTTTTACAAAATGTTTGTTTTATATGAAACCTTAGGAGTATAGTTTTGTTAATGATACATATTTCTCCATTAACTTATTCAAGGCATACAGTAGGGAAACATTTCCTGAACCGTGCATTTAAATGTAGCAGATAGAGGGAAAGTGAAGTCTCATTAAATTTCTTTAGTGGTGATGGCAACAAGTCGCTATTTGACCGGTGCAAGAATCAGTGCATTGCCCTTGATGAAGATCATGGCGGTCAGTAACAATCAGTCGAGAGAGATGGATATCGACGACATGGATTGTTATTCAGCCAGGCCACGACTCAATTTGTCGTGACATAGCTGAAGTTAAATGCGGCGTTAAACAACACTCATTCACTCAACGTGAAGGTACATTCAGAATAACCAGGCAACCCATAGACGTTTTTCTGACCAAATTAATGGCTGAGATGTGAAAGATATTTATAAATCTATACAAACAGAACGTAAACTGGCTGGTCCCTATTTTGTACACGAATGTCATCATTCGTCACCACTCGCCTCTTTTCGTAACCTGCAAGAAAACACGCCCCCCTATCAATGAATGTTATGTGCGAAAATACGACAAACCAATCAGAGTGCGCGTATGATTTCAAGTTCTTCGTCAAAAAATCCCTCCGAAATAATTTTTGATTTTACACATGTCTTGCATTTAAAAATGTTAAATGTGTTCAATCAAACTGTATAATTCCGCATGTCGAGATGAGCTTTAAATTCCATCTGAAATATATATAATATATGGGGAAATATATGTGAACCACTACGCAACGAGTTGACAATTGTTTTAGGTATGCCCGTTTGCGCTAAGACGGAACCCGGTCGCAAAAATGGCCATGAGAGGGGCACGAGTCGCTATTCGGCTTGTCCCGGAATAACACGAGTTGGTCACGAATGGAATGACATTTGATGGCCATAACTTTGCCACTGAACACTCCTTTCAGGGGTAGCAGTTTCGAGCAAATTGGCAGTCTCAACAACCTATTCTACCCCGGATCTTCAGGGGTCTAATTATGTTAGAAACTATATTTAAGTACAAACATATTTACACATTAAATTTTTTAGTTCTCTGAATATTAATTTTCAATTTGTTTTAACAAATACCACAGGATGCACGAGCATTTTGACAGCCGACACACATACACACACTGTTGTATTATATTACCACCAACGAAAACATGAAAATACCGCATACCACATTTGGCAGAACAGTGTTATAAGTTCCTACCTTCATAGTTATCAGTTGGATGAGAAACGTCATGCAGATTCTGAGGTAGGACGATGCCGGCGAGCAGGATGTCGCTGATGGCGAGGTTGCAGATGAACAGGTTGGTGACGTTCCTCAATTTGGGGTTTTTAATCACCAACACTATAACCAATATATTACTACACACAGAGAACAACAATACGACCCCTGTCACCACTATAAACACAATCTCCAGGTTTCCCAATGGCATTGGGATTTTTTTCACAAGCTTCTCTGGCGCTACAAATCATCCATCTCTGTATGGCACTTATGAATGAAATGTGTCATTCTGTCAAACAGTTTGTTTCACCTCCATAACTCCCCTCAGTCGCCCTGCTGGTGAATTAGTCTTCAAACAGGGCTCCATGACTGGCGCCTCCCACACACAGTGAGAGCAAGTGACCGGTGAACACAGGTACTGAGAGTATCTGATAATCGATCCGTATGGGTTATTGTCACAGTGAGGACTGTACCGCATTGGAACAGGGAGAGGTTGTTAGTCAATGTCTTGGGCGAGACTACAGGATACTATCATGTAGGATGAGTTAGTGAGTTGGTTCTAACGCCGATTTGAAAAGTATTCCAGTTATATCACGGCGAAAAATGTGTGAGTGCGTGAAGTGTGTGTGTGTGGGGGGGGGGGGGGGGGGGGGGGGGAGGGGGGGGGGAGGGGGCAATAGATACCACTTTGGTGGAACCCATGGGTGTGGTGCTGACAAACCTAGGAACATAATCGAACCCACAATCATTGGTTTCTGGCGTGCCACTCTGCACAGCGAATCGCGGCGTGGTAGATATGAACACGAGAATACTGTGTGCAAAGGACACACGAGTATTTTAAACCACAGTTTGAATATGATTTATTCTTAGTTTTAGAGTTGATAAACAATCCTAGGTTTCTGGCGTGCTCAAGGGATGCAACTTTGCACAGCCTATTGCGGCGGCCTCAACGACTAGGCCACCCTTGTCCCCTCACCTATAGTGAACTGCAGCTTGTTTATTAAGTAGCGCCATTTCATAAGGCTGTAAAAGTGTGCTTCATCCTCCAGCCGTATATTTATGACAGATAGCCAAGCCGTCTACGTCGCCGCAATTTGCTTGGCAGAGGTACGTATCAGAATCCGAACGTATGGGTTCGAATCCCACTTTCACCATGAGTATGTGGTTTCTCAGAACCATTTATCACTTTCGATTTCCCTTCCACATCGTTTTGACACGCAGTGCTCAACGCGACGTCAAAACCAAATTAATTCATTCACACTCATTTTAAACATACCTTTTTGACGTTATTCTATTTAACGTATTTCTGAGGGTAAAGATCCGGTTTTACTGTAAAACAGGAATGATAAGCATGGTATGGTATGGTATGGTATGGTATAGCATGGTATGGTATGGTATTTGGGTTTGGGGCGACTTGGACCATTAAAGGGCTATTTGCGCCCAACACATCATAGTTATATTTACTGACATGGCGGGTGTTAAAATAATTGAATAGGGTGTCAATGGTTCACGAAGTGACATTGTTTATGAAATATTAAAGTTGAATACATTGTTGAACTTAAACTAAATAACGTGTGACATTGTGTGGATTCCAGCTCCTGTTGGGCTGCATGGACATGAAACAGCAGACCAACTTGCGAAATCTGTCTTCCAATTCTCTGAGGTGACAATATCAGAATTCAGACCCCAACTAACAGATTTCGACTTTATTTAAACACGAGCTGGCAACAGTTGTGGGATGCTGGGGTAACTGGCCGACATCTGCTTTCAGTTTGTCCTTCTGTAAAAACAAACAGGACAGTTCGTCGACTTCGTCCTGGACACCGTGGGTTAAATGCTTACCGCAAGTGTCACGCATGAAGAGGTCTCCCTTGTATGTACTACACACTGACAAAAATACTCCCGAGACAGTGAAGCATTACTCTATTGAATGCCCAGGCCACATTCATATCAGAGGTCTCTTTCTAAAGCCTGACTTCATTCTTGACAGAAGCCTAATCTAATGGATAGATTGGAAGTTAGGTAAATTGGTCTGTATGAAGCAGGCATTATTGGATCCTTCCCTGGTTTGGTAACTTGGACAATGATGGCATGTGTCCAGGTTTTAGGAATAAACCAAGAACTCGAAGTATTAAGCAGCTCTCGGATAATTAAAAGAGCAGAATCAGGCATGTGCTTAAACACCTCATAACATAAATTATCTGCTCCAGGAGAGGAATTGTTTGTTTTCGATGTGGTACCTTAAAGTTCATCGTATGAGTAAATCTATATATACTTGAACTATAGTTACGCCAACTGCAGCGTTTTGCCCCACGAACGACACGTTGAAACTCGACACGTTTCTTTCTGAACACAGCCAGATCACAAGGAAGAGAAGTATGTCAAACTAGGCTTGTGTCCTTCCTTTGTTTGCCTTTTCACATTCATCGTAACACCAAACTTTGGGAATGAAAGAAAACTGCTTACCTGACGATTGTCAAATAGTAGCCTGGATATTTCAATGTGAGAAGTAATGTTGCCATTTAAACATCAGTTTCTTCGTTTATTAGTTCAGAAGTAATATGTTGCTCGCAAAGAGGACAAAATCGGACTAGTTTGCATCTTTCCAGTGTTGAACATGTACACAAGAATCTCTAAGTGGACTGTCATGAATTTCAATGAATACTGGAAAGTGATCACTACCAAGAGCATCGTCTTGGAACATATCCCAGCTACATTTAGATACTAAAGAGGAGGATATCATCGAAAGGATCCATAGATGCATTCGGGTCATTTTACCATGATTTAAAATCACCAGGGCTCACTGGCACAAAGCGATTTTAGCGCTAAGATGATCTTAACTCCCATACTTTAACATAGGCTAACAATAGTCTTATCGCTAAGATCATCTTGTGCAAGTGGGCCTAGGTCAGATTCATCCAAAACGTTTTCGATTACTGTTCCGTTGCGGTCTGATTTAATGATTCTCCACAAAACATTGTGACTGTTAAAATACCAACAAATGAATTAGGGCTTATGACCATCCTCTGTTAATTTGATATTATCGTTTACATTAGAATTCCCAGTGTTGTACACATGAATCACTGTCAGGATTTATTTTCATCAAAGTAAATCTTAACTGCATTAGCTTGTGCTCTTTCGTGTACAGGGGCGGTCGGGTAGCCTAGTGGTTAAAGCGTTCGCTCGTCACACCGAAGACCCGGGTTCGATTCCCGACATGGGTCCAATGTGTGAAGCTTATTTGTGGTGTCTCCCGCCGTGATATTGCTGGAATACTAAAAGCGCCCTTTAACCTCACTCACTCACTCACTCAATGAAGGACAAATCAGATTTTAGAAAATTGAACAGGCTCCTCTACGAGGATTTGAGACATCTTAATTACTCATTTTAATTACTGTATCCTGTCGGAAACTGGCCTATCCCTTGATATTAAAACTACTCTCTACATAGAGGAATGACTTCTGGACACAGATAACATATGGAAGCTCAGATAAATTTGAAATAAATGCTTTCAGATTATCACCATGAGCTACGAGATTCGGTGTATTCCATTGCAAAATCTATCCATTACTCCTTTTCAACAGGTGAACTGTTTAATATATTTTGCGACATCAATCAGGAGATGAGCCTTAGCAGCTGACACAGTTCGATCTATGTGATGTTCTTTGCTGGTTGCATTGAAGGTCATGAATATTTGAGGGGAAGCGATAGAGCAGTGATAGAACGAGAAAGTGAGAAAGCTATGGAGGGAGAAAGCAAGAATGCGATAGAGAGAGAAAGGATAGAACGATACGATAAAACGATAAAACGATAGAATGAGAAAGCTATGGAGGGAGAAAGCGATAGAGCGATAGAACGAGAAAGTGATAGAACAATACGAGAAAACGATAAAGTGAGAATGCGAGAAAGCTATGTATGGAGAAAACGAGAAAGCGATAGAGCGAGAAATGATAGAACGAGACAAGAAAGTGAGAAAGCAATAGAACGAGAAAGCGACAGAACGAGAAAGGAATAGAGCGAGAACGCAAGAAAGAGATAGAAAGATACGAGAAAACGATAAAGCGACAAAACGAGATAGCGATAGAGGAGAGAACGAGAAAGTGATATTTCCCATTATGCCATACATTGAAAAGGTTTTTGCTGATATTCATTGATCCATTCGTATATATTCACCGCTATTTTGCCTTTTCTACATAAAACCTTTCACAATTTTGTAGTAGAGATAGATTTGTTACATACATATATATATATATATATATATATATATATATATATATATATATATATATATATATATATATACAGAATTCTATCGCGTTTCGTTTGCACACACGCATGTTTACCTTCTTGTATTGTAGTAAATTAGACAGATCTACATACACTACCACGGAAAAGTCTTTTCCTTTATTTCGCAAAAACTCTACAGAAAGTCCGCAGATTATTTGGGATCTTGTGCGAAACTCCATTGACCCCTTAATGTGAGTTATTAGTTTTATGCCTAAAACCCCCGACACAAGCGTTGTGTAGGATGACATTAGTCTCTCCATGTTTCAACATGGTCTGGGATACTTGTGAATGTTTTTCGCTATTCAAATTTTCATTTTATTCATAATACTACCCCATTCTTCCTTCAATGTTGAAAGATACATTGAACTGGAACAAATAATGGATTACATACAAATTATACATTGATAAATAATTGTCGGTATTATCAGCCATTGTGTGTATTGTTTGCATTGTCTAAAGTAATATTTTGTCGGCCATCAGTTTTGGACTTGACGCCGAATACGTGCGCGTCGGATTTAGAAATGACAATTATCTTGATTATGATGCAAGCAAAAATTATACAGACAAAAGCTATACATGTACACTGTGATATTTCCCTTAAAAAATACGGATCGATTAGATACATGTCTTTACCTTAAGTCACATATACGACTTTTGAGAGCGTCATTAAACCGTAACCCCATTCATTGGACAAAAAAAATGGAATGCGTTTTAAATACTATTGAAAAGCCCCAACTAATTTCTTATTATTCCTTTCAATCAAAATGTCGTCGGACAATAAATCTAATGCTAATGTCCATAGAGTTTAACTGACATAAAGTGGGCTTTCCAGCCAT